ATCGAGATAACTGTATGTCATTGCATTTCTTGATACATTCACAGATCTGATCGGTTTTTTGAAGTGACTGCAAAACCTTTTGATCGAATTAGTGTGAGTTCCATCGAAAGGATTGATGAAATCACTGTATGGTTGACGACGTCATGAGTATAGCCCAGGGTTGGTAGCTTAGTATAACTACTCCATTCATTTTTATGAATAGTTGTTCCGGGCAGTAATTAACGTAGGATAATAGGCAATAAGACATTAGCGCCTCATATAAGGATCGCCTGAATGTATCTGTTTTTAATGATGGAAAGATACAACAGACGGTGTTTATTCGCGTAGTTATGGTTCTTGCGTGACAAAGAGATGGTGTGAAGAGGAGGCGAGAGTCTATGATGAATCGTGAAGTCACTTAAAGACAACTGCAGGGAACAGGATGAATGGAAAGTGTGCAGACGAAGGGCTATGTTTCACTCGGAATCTAATGAGGTAATATTTTAAAATTAAGAACCTAAATAATCTGTTTTACATTCGAATTAATTAATTTCTTCACTAAGTCCAAACCGTCTCGTAGGCGAAAACAAACGGGAATAACTAGACCATTAGTAGTAGTCACGCAGCTGTGTGACTGAGTTTGTGAATATATATGCTAACTGTCTTGAGTTCGATTAGTGTGGGAATGCAGAATTACCACTGCTCCTTCTACCATCTACATGTCATTTTCTAAGTGATATCCACTTCGTCATTTCCTATTCTGGGGGACCTACTTGGCTCTTAAGCTTGCTCAACGGTATCCTCAGCATGCGTCAAATCATCTCTATTTCCTCCAACGCGGACGCGCCGTGACGGTCTGATGTTTGGGCCAATTCCGGAGTCCTTAGTCGCCAATTCATTCCAACCTGTCATTTGAACTTACGTATGGAGCCAGCGAAGGCAGCCGTCGATAAAAGTCCGAAGCCTATTGGAAGTGCTTTCTTTGTGAACCGTCAGGTACGCAAAATATACAGAAGAATTGACTTGACATCCGTGTTAGGACTGGTTAGTGAACGAAGTGCTCTTTCTGACAAATACTTCATCAGATTCAACGGTTGTATGAACAAAATAATGGTGAAAACTGTCCTCCTGATAGAGGAGCTAGTAAGGGGTACGGTTTCCCCAGGAACGAGCGTTTCTAAACTAAATTTCGCAAACCACTTACTGAAAAGTTTAGGAATGGTGGCAGGCTCACTGTAGATCACTTTGTCGTGAGGTAAGTGGGAGATGTCCCTCGTCGATCGCATTCGTCGTTTAAGAAGTGTTATTAGGTTATAAACTTTGGAAATACTTTTACGTGCACCTAACTCTTCGTTGAGTTCCTTTTGATAGCGTAGGTGCTTGATAGATTCAAGTGACTCGTCGATTGAGTGCAGTAGTGATACATCCTTAGTGGAATGGTACTGTTTCATCAAATTCCTTAATTTATTGCGGTACGCTCTTGGAGTGCGTTCAGCTTGATGCCTACTTAATTTCACTACCCTCTCAGGAGGAACAGTTGTAGAAAAAGAATGATATTCCTGTAGAATAAGGAGACCACAAACTCCAGGGATTCAGTGGCAAAATAAATACTCCATTGGCAGATTCGAAAAATACAGGTGTTCACAGAAGCACGAATGTCAATGTAAAGGCTATACGATGTCCGCCTCTCTGAGACCCTTTCGTCATATATTATTGCGTTTCGCTCTCAGACTGCTATATTCTATGGGTGGGATGCAATATACTGGCAAACTTACTCATATCGTGATCGCCACCATCTTTTACCAGTTTCAGAATTTCATCGATCTTTCGCTCAATACCTTCATCCTCTATGCCAGAGCTTATCTTCACACACTTCCTTTCAGTCGAGTAGGTATGCGTCTCGCTTTTGCATTCATTCCTTCCTTTTGAGTTGGATCTTGATATCATGATCCTGGATGAAATTGGTTCCCACTGCACTAGGGCTCTGGCTGCCACTGCTAATCTCATGATAGCCACTCACTGCCTCAGTGCGCTCGTGGTTATCATCTGGGTGACCAGACCGGAGTAGAATACTGATTCTTCAGTTGACAGTTTTGACAATCCACTTTGATCCCATCTGCTTTTGCAGAAACCCAGAACTTCTATGCCATATCGCCGCATTTCTTTGGCTATCTGGACAGCCTTCCCAGCCTCGTACATTGTACGGACATTCCACGTCCTCTTTCTTATTCTTGCTTTCATTGAAAGAAGACACATCTACTGACTGGCTTCCCGAAGGCTTTCACCAACCCGCGTCATGTCGCCTCTCCGATTTCATGATAATAATAATATTGTTTCTATTTGAAGTTTTTGTATTTTTAATATATTTTCTGTGCGTTGAAGTTTCTCTAGAGGTTTGATTGGTTCAGTGGTATGGGGTTGCTAGCCCCACGTGCAACCCTCCCTCTTTATCTGCGCTTGGAACTGGCTAGAAAACTAGCATGCTAAGTAACTGGGCAAGGTTTTTATTTTTGGCTTGTGTATATTCCAGCGTGTGAGACGAAATGAACCACCCGTGAATTCCAGATTTTCTAAAGTCCCTTCGTCGATTTAACCGCGTCCTCACTCATCTGTATCTCGCGACGGAGTCCATCACAAGTCGGAATATCATCAGTGATAGGAAGCAACTTTGTCTTTCACCGGCTTTGGCGAGTTTTCCCTTGTGAATTATTTGGTGAGCGGTGTCATCACACAGTTGTTGAATGCTACTGATGAGTATTTGTGGCACTGTCCACCGTAGTGTTGCAGCACTTTCGAAATTACTTCGCGTTCTACACGGTCGAAGGCCTTTCTAAAGTCGATGAAAATTAGTTGAAGTATTGACTGCCCTTTTTGGACTGCGTTCAATGATGTTACTCTTTGGTGTTAAAATCCGGTCTCCAAATTTTCTTTCCGTGAATCCAACCTATTCCAGGTGATATCTATCCACGGCATCTTTTAGATGATGTGAATTAATATTTTGCTGGGGTTGGATAGGAGAATGATTATGTACCAGTTCTTGCATGGGGTTAAGTCACCTTTATTGGGACTCTGAAAAGACAGCCTATTCTCCAATTGGCAGGCACCTTTCTTTCATTCCAAACCTGCAGTAGTGGCGCGAGCTTGTCCGCTGATATCTCTTAATCGATTTTCAGAGCTTCTAACGAGATTGCATCCAGTCCTGCTGCTTTCTTGAGTGGGTTTTAGCACATTTATTGTCTTAAGGACTTCTGTTTTTAAAAATTTAGGTTTCTATAAGGATTTGGGTTAATTTTACTACGGATTTCGTCAAGAACCAATATCAGTTCGAGGACCTATGTTCAATCTCTGGTAGGGTCGTTGGTGCGCATTTCTGACGAGTGTGAGACTAAGATGAGGCAGTGGCGAATTTCTCCTTGGTCTTCAATGATCTACAGCTGATAGAGGCTGCTGAAGGGATCTACGTTTGTTTTTGTTGGAGAGTTAGTGCAGCGGTAGTTCTGTGTAGTTGTTTTATTTCTGGGTGAGTTGCAGGTCGTGATGAATTGGAGTTTTTTTTGAAGGGACCAACCCAACGTTTTCTTTATTACTCTTTTTGTTTTTAGGTTTCCTTCACTATCTTTCAAGTTTTAATGTTCATGTTTTGGAGCAGTGGTGGACTACTGAATTTATAACTGAAGCAGTGATATTTCATTATCATTACTATGATACTCGGGCTTTTTGTTTTGTTTCAAGTATTAAGGTTTTATCAGTTTTGTATGTTATTCACCGTTGATCTACATTCCTGTTTGAGATACAGAATCATCTACAAATTTAAAATCAGAAAGCAAATAAACAAATAATCCAACTACCTATGTGTAGAATCTACCGATAATCGCATTTGTAACGTGAATTTATATCCTAGAAAAGCAACTATTTCGATAATGTTTGACAGATTGTAGGCATACTTTACATATGCTTTTGGTAGAGTTCTATTAGATTTAGAGGTTTTTGGTTGTAAATCCTAATTAAAGTTAATGCAGTTTACTTGTTAGCCAGTGTTAAGACTATCCAACATAGGTAGCGAAAACTTAGACACTTGAACTGATTCATTTCTTTATATTCATATCTTTGCATGAATAAATTCATGACAGAACTAAAATAGGTCAGTGATTAGACCATGACATCAATCTATGGATTATAAATATGGTCATTAACTATTAGAGCAGGCCTTTAAGGAGAGTGTATTTCCCCCTAGTTGGCATTTACATCACTTTAGGAGCCTGTGCTTAGAGATTCTAGGTGATATTGCTTGGGATCGATCGTAGTGCTGGAGATGAGGTCATGCCTTGTTTTCATGTGCTTCTTAACCCAACATTTATTTATTTGCTTTACTTTTGTTATCCCTTTGTATGTGGTACTCTGTGACTATTAATTGTATGGTTTTGATTGTGTTATTATTTTTTTGTTACCGTTTACTCGGTCTGTGGATATATTGTATGACAACTTGGGCAAATTTGCAGCAGTACTAGGTTTTTGTCAATAATGTCTCCGTATTTTCTGTCACTGGCAGTTTCAAATTTCAATGAAACTGTTTACGAAATTCCATCATTTCACTGCAAAATTTTCAGTATAAAGATAAATGGAAGATACTTGGTCAGTGTATCTTGATTATGGCGTCAGTAGCATGTTTTCTTGAGTTATTCACTATCAACTAATGGTAGTGTTAGGCTGAGCGGAGAGATATTATGAGTCAGCGTTTTCCATGTGATCTGTTAATCAGACATTCTGCTTAGGCTCGCGTCTTAAGATTTTACTAGTATGTGCTAACCGGTCAAAACAGAATTTGCATTTTAAACTAGTAATATATTGGTCGTATGAAATTTCACTTTAGATAAGTTTACTTGGTATAGTATAGTGATACAGTATTCATAGCTGAATGACGTTTTGAGCACAGTTTTTCGCTTATAATCATATCAGTGTATTCGTACGGTGTCACAAGTTATTTTATATATTTTTTATTTTCCCCTTGTTATGCTGGGTATATGGTGAGTTACAATGAATAACAAGTAGAGGAAAAACAACATATAAAGCAGCTTGTGAAGCTGTATAAATACATTGATATGGATATGAGCAGTAAATTGTATTCGAAACGTCATCCAGTTATTATTACTGCATTATTCTTATATCAAATAAACTTATGTAATTTGGGATTATATTCTGTCACAGTGCCCAAGTTCTACATATACATTAGTTCGTGTGAAATAACTATATTAGTAGCTGTATTTTCTGATCATGTCATTTTTCTCTTGAAGGAATAAATCTTTGCCTTCTCACACTAGTTTCTGTGCCCTGTGAGTGTGGGAATAGTTTACTGTCGAGCAGTCATATAATGTCGTGCGTTGAAGTGTCAGAACAAATCCAAATCTGGTATTATCTTGACCACTACGGGTGGACTTTTCTTCCATAACAATGATTTCACTGGCTACTCATTTCTCAGTCTGATTCAAATCAGAATCTATATTGATTGTGACTCCTTTTCACCTTTGCATCACATTTTAAACAGAATCTACGTGATCATCAATCTGTTCTCCAGACAAGTTTGGAGGAATTACAAGAAAAGCTAAAATTATTAGAAACAGAAAATGCTTCCCTTAATAAGGAGCTCAAAGGTATGTTCTATAAAAACTTCATATCATCTATAAAATTTCAGAATGTGAAAATAATTCTCTTACATTCGTGTGGTTTTCACTCTTTTATACAGTTCCTTTATTGTGTTATACAACTATACTTAGACGTTAATGTGCTACCGCATTGCATCCTTTCTATTCCAGTATACTTATTTTTGCGCCAAAAGTTTTTTTTACTTAATGTTCATAAGTTTCTATAGGCATGTAGTGTAATATCTCTTAGGAGAATGCTAACAGATTAATTGTAAAAGTCATGAGTGTGGACATGCTAGGTGTTGTTGGACTTGCATATTTGACTGAGTATTCTATTATGTACAGAAAACACCACAGTCATTGTGCTCTGGAACGATGAAGTCCCGATTAATGATCTAGTAAGTGACTTTCAAAGTCATCTTAATAGTTAACGTCGTTTGAGAAGTTGTTAACAATTGTATGTTGTTGGTCTGTGGGTTAATTAGGTTCAATAGCTTAAGATTACTACACGTGTTGTATTAGACTGTGATCACATCATCAGGTAAATACATATGCCGGTCACTTGATTTGTTTGTTTCACCTGCAGGTATTAGTCGTAGTGTATCACTTAGATGTTATTTTACAGCTTTGGTATACAACTCATTTCTTGATACATTAGGCGCCCAAACAATAGACCCACTTCACTTACTAAATCTTGAGCAGCCATTAGCATGATAAGTAAGGTCCACAAGGCAGTGCATAAACATCGTTTTATTTGCACTCAAAATTTTGAAAATGCAGTAGAGATAAAGACAAAAATTTAAATCAGTTAATAAGGTGAATTAGTGACATTTCTGTCAGTGAATAAAGTGTTTTCAGAATATATATATATATATAGGGTAATAGGAAAAATGACTTCCTAGGTATTTGTGAAAGGCATTTTCAAATAGTGATTGTATTCATTTTCTTACAGTGGCTTTTGTGTTGCTAGAAACTGCGAAGCGCGTTCATCATGAAAAGAGGATTTTGTTGAATAGCATTTGTTGAATAAACTGGTAGTTGTATGTTTGCGTCTGGTGCTTTTTATAGTCTTGTTTTTCATTCCACTGATTTATGAGGATGAAACTGACTCTTATGAAAGACCTAAATGACATTTCCTTCTTTTACTATCGAAATTGTGTCAAGGTAATATTCAACAGTGAATGGAGAAGTATTTGCGATGTATATATAAAATCGGTCTGTATACACATATAATGCCAGTATGCAAATTAGATTAAAAAGCATGTTTACAGTTGGTATAGGGGTACTACATAATTCCGCCACCAGAACACTAACATATAAAAAAAATACATTTAAGTGTTCGAAAATAACATGCGTCAGCGTAGTATGTAGCAGCGATAGTACACAGAAGGCGATTTATTAAGCTGAAAAATGAGCAGTTATAAGCGGTTAATAACATCGATAATAAATGCGATAATCTAGGGAAAGTGGAATTGCTAATCGTAATAGAATATATAAGGAACGATAAAATTGTCCGGGGATCTGTAGTCGGTAGACGAAAACGATACGTGAATAATATACGAGATGTGATTAAATGCAATAATATAGGAAATATCGATGTTAAAATAATAGTGACGTGATTTATGTATGAAAATATTAATCAGTTAAATGAGTAATCAAATGACAATTACGAATAAAGACAATAAAAATGAAAATTCGTAGTAAGTTATATTTCGATGACTTGCACGTAACGTTTAGGCCAATGGACTCGTCTACCAGATCGTGTTGTTTTCGCAGGCTTCTCTGTCGACGTTGAAGCTTGTGTAGATGTAGGTGTTGGCACGTCGTTCAGCTGGTTCTTATCGTTGACTTCGAAATCGTCGAGGAACGCTGGTTTGACTCTGTCGATACTGATGGCTTCTGTTTTATTCAATCTTTCTATCGTGATAACTTTCGCGTTTCTGTTTAGAACTTTGAATGGGCCATCATAAGCGGGTTGAAGTGGTCGTTGTACACCTTCTCTCCTGACGAAGACGTGAGTACAATCTGTCAGTTGTGACGGGATGTATGACGCTCGTTCCTGCTGACGTGGAAGTGATATCTTTAGCTCGTTCATGTGTCGTTTTAGCTGGTGCACGTAACCAGTCATATCGTGTGGAACTTGGTTACCCGGGGTGAAAAATTCTCCTGGTAATCGTAATGTTGTTCCATAGACTAGTTCGGAAACACAGCAGCCAATATCTTTCTTTATAGTAGCTCGTATACCAAGTAATACTAGTGGAAGTTTGGTTGACCAATCGTTTCGAGTCAAAGAAGCAGCGAGCGCAGCTTTGAGTTGTCGATGAAATCGTTCGACCATACCGTTGGAACTAGGATGATACGCTGTCGTTCGTATTCGTTTAATGCCTAGTAATTCAGTTAGTTGGTCAAAAGTCGGCTTTCAAACTGGGCACCTCTGTCTGTAGTGATAATTGATGGGACACCAAAATTGGCTATCCAGTTTTCGACTAAAGCTTTAGCTACCGTTTCAGCTGAGACGTCGATTAATGGAACTGCTATTGGCCAACGAGTAAATCTGTCAATGCAGGTTAGAATATAGTTGAAACCATTGGAAGGAGGCAGTGGACCAACTATGTCTACATGTACATGGTCAAATCTAGAGTCGGGGTTAGGGAAGCGACCAAGTGGTGCTTTGGTGTGCCGGTTGATTTTGACTCTTTGACAAGACAAGCAATTTCGTGTCCACTTCTTAACGTCGCTGTTAATGTTTGGCCAGATAAATCTTTCTCTTAGTAGCTTGGTAGTAGCGCTAACACCAGGATGCGACAAGTTATGTAACTTCTCGAATACTGTATGTCTCATAGCTATTGGAACGAAAGGTCGATATTTACCTGTAGAGGTGTCGCAGATAACTTTTGTCGTGCCGAAAGGAATTGCCTCGAGGTTTAGAGATGTTGTTTTAGAAGACATGATCTTTTTGAGTTCGGCGTCATCTCGTTGTAAGTTTGAGAGATGTTCGTAGTCGATGTCTGGGCATACAATGTTATCAATGTGCATACGTGATAAAGCGTCTGCCACTTCATTGTTTTTACCCTTTATGTGTCGCAGATCGGAGGTGAACTGGGATATAAACTCGAGATGTCGTAGTTCACGTGGAGAGTAGTTATCCTGTTTTGCTGATAAGGCTTTCGTTAGAGCCTTGTGGTCTGTAAAGACAGTAAAAGGTGTACCTTCCAGCATATGTCGAAAGTGCTTGATTGCTAAATAAACAGCTAATAACTCTCTACCAAAGGTGCTATATCGACATTGAGTAGGATTCAGTCGTTTCGAAAAGAATGCAAGGGGTTGCCATTCGCCATGTACCTGCTGTTGTAACACTGCCCCAATGGCGACATCTGAAGCATCTGTCATGAGAGACAGGGGGCGTCATTCTGGCGTCTGACTAAGAGCGTCTTGTCATTTAACGATTGTTTAACAGCTTCGAATGCTTTAACAGCTTCTGCAGGCAAATGGAATGAACGACTATGTCCACGTAAGCAGTCGGTCAACGGTTGCAAAACTCTAGCACAGTTCGGGATAAAACGCCGGTAAAAATTGACTAGACCCAAAAATCGCCGTAATTTCTTGAAAGAATCTGGTAATGGATAGTCTTTGATGGCTTGTACATCGTCGGGGACTGGTCTAATTCCTTGATTGTCAATCAAGTGACCGAGGAATTTCAGTGATTTCTTACCAAATTCGCATTTATCTAAATTGATAGTCATGCCGTATTTCTGAAGTCTTTCAAACACCGTCCTCACATGTTTCACATGCTCGGTTTCGTCTGCACTTGCAATTAGTAAGTCGTCAATGTATGCGTAGACGAAGGGCAGGCCGCGGAGTACTTGGTCGATGAGACGTTGAAATGTCTGAGCGGCGTTCATCAGCCCGAAAGGCATGCGCACGAATTCGTATAAGCCGAATGGCGTGGTGATAGCAGTTTTTGGAACGTCATCCGGGTGGATGGGAATATGATGGTACGCTCTGACAAGGTCGATTTTGGAGAAAATTTTAACCTCTGGCAAGTTGCTGGCGAAATCGTGAATATGCGGTATGGGGTATCGGTCAGGTACCGTTTGCTTGTTTAAAGCTCGATAATCCCCGCATGGCCGTATCTCACCAGAAGACTTTTTGGGTACCATGTGCAGCGGTGAAGACCAAGAGCTGTTGGATGGTCGAATAATGCCGAGCTCTAACATTTTATCGAACTCTGTTTTTGCGATTTTAAGTCGATGTGGGTCAAGGCGTCGAGGACGTGCAAAAACTGGTGGTCCAGTGGTTTTAATGTGATGAACCACTTGATGCTTTAGTTCTGTTGCTCGGAAAGAGGGTTGTAGAAGGTCAGGGAACTGATTTACTAAGTCAGTATATGGAGATGCTGGTGTGCGTGTGACCATCAAGTTCAGCGATGATGCACGGCTAATCGTACCAGCGATGTACCTTTTATTGAGCGAGTCTATAAGCTTAGGGCTTACCGGATCAACTAGCAGTTTGTGTTGCTGTAGAAAATCTATACCAAGGATTGGGGATGGAACGTCTGCGATGATGAAAGACCAAGTGTAGGTATTCTGCAGACCAAAATCTAAAGTCATTCGTTTACTACCATATGTAACAATATTAGACTTATTAACGGCTTGGAGCGTAACTGCAGGGTCAGGATGTTGACGTTCCTGCGTAGTCGGAGGGAGAACACTAACCTCTGCTCCTGTGTCGACTAAGAACGTAGTACCGGTATTTCTATCTGTTACATAAAACAAACGACTGCTAGATCGTAGATTGCCAACAGTAGAAGTTTTCATACATGACGATATATCTTTTGGTTTAGCCTGAAAGTTGCAAGGTGAACGACACCGTCGTGCATTACTTCCGTAACTACGGTGGTACCAGCAAATAGTATCGTGATGTCGTGACGTGCTGGGTGACCGAGAAAGACGTCGACGAGACGAGCTTCTAGAACGGCTTGGTCGTGTGTGTGTGGTCAGTGCTGCTAA